TGCACAACACTGCACAACTTGCAGTGAGGTTTGCCAGGACCTATAATAAGAGGACCAAACAATCACTCCACAGGTCTTATGGTATATCATAGGAGAAACTGCTCTTACATTGTAGATCACAGGTGTCGAACTCCAGGCGTCGAGGGTCGATGTCCTCCAGGTTTTAGATGTGTCCTTGATCCAACACCGCTGACTTAAATGGCTAAATTACCTCCTCAACATATCTTGAAGTTCTCCAGAGGCCTGGTAATGAACTACTCATGTGATTCAGGTGTGTTGACTCAGGGTGAGATCTAAAACCTGCAGGACACCGGCCCTCAAGGCCTGGAGTTTGACACCCCTGTTGTAGATGTTCACATCTTGGACAGGGAAGACAGATATTTTGACAGAGCTGTGCCTAACCGGATCAACCAATGTTGCGCAGAAGAGGTAGCCTCGTAGAGGTAGATTGATCCGGTTAGGCACAGCTCTGTCAAAATATCTGTCTTCCCTGTCCAAGATGTGAACATCTTCAACAGGGGTGTCAAACTCCAGGCCTTGAGGGCCGGTGTCCTGCAGGTTTTAGATCTCACCAAAAAATGTATGCCCTTGTAAAAATTGTGCATACAATTTCAGATAGAGTGTAAGAAGACGCTGGTTATTGTAATTAGTCACAAACCCAAAAATTAAGGAACAGCCGATTTTCTAAACTGAGGTGTAACAAATGTTGCAGCATTGTAATGTTTTCTGTTAAATCACAGGTCCAATAATGACAGACTAAATTTTAAAAACAAGCTCCAGACTGCACACATCAAAATTTTCCTAAAGCTGGTTTTAAATAAAAGCTGCCAATGACCACAGAGTCGACTGTTCTGCATGATGTGATATGTTCTTATGGACACAAAAGGCATTGAATTTATAAAACTAAATATGCAAATTATTACAGCGGTTCTGGTGTTCGTTAAGTAAGATGATTGAGGTGGTAGCCAACATGCTTTTTTAATTTCCTCAAGACATTACTGATCAATTTTATGCCAAAAAACACATGAGGATTGTGCTATAACGTAATCTCATAATAGCATGGCTCTTGTTTTTTTGTTTTTTTTATCGTCATCCTGTTTTTAAGTTGTGTTTAACACATTAATTTCAGATTTTTAGGCACTTTTTGAAGTCTTTTTCCTCCGGTGTAGGTCAAGGTTGCCTGAGTCAGAAAGCAGATGCAGCAGACAGATACTAAACTATTTATCTCTTCTCAGTTGTCTTACACTCTTATCTTTACTGCTGTGTTTTTCTGGGTGATTGCAACTAAAATGCAAGGCCGTTAAGCTAAATCACCTGCAAACACCACCAGTGTAGAAAAGTGTAGCCGGGCTTTCTGATTCTTCTAACACGAGTGTGCAGGGACATTGGCCAGAGTAAGAATGAGGACAGCAAATCAGTGGAAATGATAAAAAAAAATCAAGGTGCAGATAATGAGGGCAGATAGAACAGAAAGAGAGATAAGTGATAAAAGTTGGACTATGTGCTCAAAAATCATCACTGTTTGACAGCTCATCACTTCCACGCAACCGTGATTCATCAGAGGCCTAAACGAACGTGTCAAAATTATTCCATAGACCTCCAAAGTTGTTGTTTTGCAAAGCATCTGTTTTCTGCTTACATCACCTGGAAAGACTGAATAAGTCATTAATTTTTTTGTTGTTGTTTTTGCTGTGGGGGGTTGTTCCCTGCTGTCTGAAACTAATGGGGCTTTCCGAATATGCCAATTTGAGCCAAACTTGCTCAGTCTCTCCATTTCTGTCCCATTCTCTTCTTGCATATTACTTTGATTATCTTCTCCTATTATATTAATTCTTTGCCTGTCAGAATTTCTTTTTGGCTCTACAAAATCGTATGTTTTAGTTTAGGTAGCTTGGTTTCCTCTCAGCTTCTGGTTTCCGACTTGGAGTTTTGCATGTTCTCCTTGTGTCTGTGTGGTTTTTTTTCCATTCACTGCAGTTAAGTGAAAGTAGATAAGATGCAGTGATAGTAGGGAACAGGTAGAAGACAGCCTGGACAAATGAGGAATGAAATTCAGTAGAAGCGAGAGAAGAATACATGTGTGTGAATGAAAGAGAGGCAGGTGCAAGGAGTAGAGGTAGTGAAGGCAGGTGAGTGTAAATATGTGAAGTCAGCCATACAAAGCAACAGACAGTGCACAAAAGAGGTAAAGAAGAGAGTGCAGACAGAGTGGAGTGGGTGGAGACAAGTGTCAGGGGTGATTTGTGACAGATGGATAGCAGCAGGACTGAAAGGCAAGGTTTACAAGATGGTGGTGAAAACCTGCTGTGATGTATGGTTTGAAGCAAAAAGCCAGGAGGCAGAGCTGGTGGCAGCGTTGAAGATACTAGGTTTTTTTATTGAGTGACAAAGAGGGACAGGATGAGAAATAAGCATATCAAAGGGACAACTCAGGTTGAGAGGCAAGGCTGAGATGGTTTGGACAACAGCAGAGGTGGGATAGTGGCTATATCGTATAAAGGATGTTAAAGCTGGGGTTGCCAGGCAAGAGGAAAACTACAGAGAGGGTTCGTGATTATAGCGAAGAAGCACATGCAGAGGAGGGTTGGTGTGACAAACAAGGATACTGGGGAAAGGATGTGATGATGACAGATTATCTTCTGTGGTGACCCCTAAAAACAGAAGCAAAGGAATAAGATGATGAGCTATAGTTTCATTGCTGGCATGAATGGTTTTCTGTTTCTGTGACTGAGAAGTAACCACTAATATCATAGGCTCCACCAGGGAAAATGGATGGATCTACAGCTAATAAGATTCAATACAAACTTGGATTCATATTAAAAGAGGGGTTTTTTTTTTAACATCCTCGATGACATTTCAGCAGTTTACATTTTAACTTCCTGAAAGTTGGGGACTTGCATGCTAAACAAAAGGAGTTTCAAAACTGTGGTAAAGCGTTCAGCTCGTTGTCTTTCTGGTCCAAGTATTTAAACAAAATTCCCTGATGCACATCTTGCATTTTCCAAAATGCAACTTGATAGTGTCTTTGATTAGCACTTTCATTGTGCCTTTATACACAACTGTGGCCTATTTCCAATAATTAATATAACAGCATGATATATGGATAATGACTTCCTTTTCCAAGTAATTTATTAGATAGATTATCATTAATCATTAATAGTGTTATTACTTGCATCAGTTTTACACATAAAGAATAAAGCCACTGTGATATAAAATACCACTGAGATTTTCTGGATAACAGATGAGAGCAGAGGGAAGAGGTTAAGACTTAACAAGGGAATATTAGCCAATATTTGACCCAGGCCTCACACACACATATACTCACACACAGACAAACATAAATGTGGGCTTGTGTTACATGGCCGTTTCAGCGGCTCTCGTATTGATACAGATGTATTGGTCATTAAGTCAGTTAGGTTTGACGTCTCAGCCCAACTGCAGCCAAAGATAATAATATCAGCGCTCTCTCAGAGAAATTTTCCACTCTGTCCGAACAGAAAGAACTACAATTTGGTGTTTAAGATTGAAGTGTGATGCGTGTGTGTGTGTGTGTGTGTTTGTTTGTTTGTGTGTCCTAAACCCTGCTCAGTGATCATCCATTGGACTGTTTTTTTCTTCTCATCAGTCAAAATACTAACAGAATAGTTGGTGTTCTTCTTAGACATAACCACCTGCTAGTTAGCTTAGCAAGATATAGGTGTAAACAGCTACCCTGATTCTTGTTCAGTTTAGTAGTTTATCAGCATATCACATTTGTGTTATCTCTGGAAATGTCAAATCATTATAAACAAACAAGAAGTCAGATGTTATTGATTGTTTAGAAATAATACATCTAATGGAAAATAAATTTGTTGCTCTCATTTAAAGCTAGCTGTTTGTTTTTGGTAAAAAGTAGATATAGCAAGCATAAAAACTTCACCCAGTGCTTTGTAATTCCCATTTTTATTCTTTTTTGTTTG